TGGTGAGAATTCTGGTGTAATTCTTATAGGTCTGCCTTTATATGTTACTTGACCTTTTTCCCTTATTGCTTTTAGTATTTTTTCTTTGTTTTGTGCGTTTGATGTTTTGATTATTATATGATGGGAGGTATTTCTTTTCTGGTCTAGTCTATTTGGTGTTCTGTAGGCTTCTTGTATGTTTATGGGCATCTTGTTCTTTAGGTTAGGGAAGTTTTCCTCAATAATTTTGTTGAAGATATTTACTGGCCCTTTAATTTGTTAATCTTCATTCTCATCTATACCTATTATCCTTTGGTTTGGTCTTCTCATTGTGTCCTGGATTTCCTGGCTATTTTGGGTTAGGAGTTTTTTTGCATTTTGCATTTTCATTGACAACTGTGTCAATATTTTCCATGGTATCTTCTGCACTTGAGATTCTGTCTTCTGCCTCTTGTATTCAGTTGGTGATACTTGAGTCTATGACTCCTGATCTCTTTCTTAGGTTTCCTAACTCAATATTTGTCTCCTTTTGAGATTTCTTTATTGTTTCTATTTCCATTTTCAGATCCTGAATGGTTTTGTTTAATTCCTTCTTTGTGTTTTCTTGCAATTCTTTAAGGGATTTCTGTGATTCCTCTTTAAGGGCTTCTCCCTATTTACTTGTACTCTCCTGTATTTCTTTAAGGGAGTTACTTATGTCCTTCTTAAAATCCTCTATCACCATCATGAGAAGTGATTTTAATTCTGAATCCTGTTTTTCTGGTGTAATGGGGTGTCCAGGGCTTGCTATATTGGAAGAACCTGGTACTGATGATGCCAAGTAACTTTGGTTTCTGTTGCTTATGTTCTTGCACTTGCCTTTCGCCATCTGGTTAACTCTAGTGTTACCTGCCCTCACTGCATAAGACTGGGGTCTGTATTTCCGGTTATCTTGCTTGTGGCAGAGCTCCTCAGAGTCCAGATGTCTCTGTGGTCTTATGATCCTAATCTCCTGGGTGGAAGAACTCCTGGGACTCAGGCCACCTCTTGGATATGGAAATCCTTCTGCTCTGGGTGCAGTGGTTCCTCTAGGATGGCTCAGGATACGATGTCTCCCGAGTGCAAACCACCTTGGTGTCTGCTGCTCTGAGTGCAGTGGCTCCTCAGCTGCTCTGAGTGCAGTGGGTCCTCTAGGATGGCTCAGGATTCAGTATCTCCACAGGAGCAGACCAACTCTCCCTTCTGCCTCATTAGATAGCTGAATATTCATGTGCACATGAAAGGCCCTGTGGTCATAAATCCACTCAGTTGTTGGAAAAAAAAAAGACATGACTGCACCATAGGGACATGGTGGGAGAATGGAGGATCTGTGAAGATGGAGAGAGCTAAGGGACTGAGGGAAACAGGTATGAGCAGAAGGTATATGTACTGGTGTGCTTGTATATAACTGTCCAAGTATGCATTATTTTAATAGACCATATAGGATAGATATAAAAATGACTATGTCTAACTTTATAATTTAAATTGAAAAAAAAGCCCCCAAAAATAAAAACAATTCTCTGAAAAAATAAGTGAAATATATCCCTTCCTTAGACAGGAGGATGATTTACTTTTCCAGATTGAATCAACAAAATTGTCCTCTTAAAGTGAAGGAAAAATGAATATGATCGGAGATTTAAAATACACAGGAACAAAATATTGCTCATGTTCCAGTCCTGTAGCAATGTTAAAGGAAACTTTCAGAGAAGAGAAAAACTGTATATGCTAGAAAATGAAACTGACATAGAGACAAGAATACCAATGAAACAGAATACCATAGTAAAATTGAGCACTGTATTTTCTTTATTTTTCTAATAGGATAAAATCTGCACAAAACCACAAAATGAATACAATATCACGTGGCTATGTCTTTGGATAAATGAAACACTTTTCAGCACTGTTACAACAAATAGAAAAGAGGAAACAGAAGGGTTGGAGAATCTGCCAGCATTGCTGACAAGCACTATTTTTAAGTATGTCTTGAACATATTAAAAAAAAAACACCAGAATTTGTTAAGTATAGCTGATATTCTATGAGAAAAAGTAGAATAGAAATATTCAATTAAATCTAAAGAATCAGATAAAGAGAAGATGACAAAAAAAGGTGTCAACTGTCCTCAAATAGAAAATTCTCACATGATATTCATTATTATAAAGATCAATAATCATTTTAAAGTGAGTTCACTAAATGCATGAATTTACAACAGAAACAAATTGGAGTAAAACACTATGCTCAACCAGACCAACAAAAAGCTGCTAAGACATGACTGTGTGCTAGTTAACACAAAATCCACAGGGAATGTCAGTGTCCCTGACACAAACTTCCAGGAAATATAAGACTCTGGGAAAGAACAAATTTAATAGAAATAAAACTAGGGATAATAGTAATAGAACAAGGAGAAAATACCAGCTCAAAGGCCCTTTCTTTAACACAATCAAAAAAAGAAAATTTTTCCAAACTGCTAAAAAAATTCATATAAAGGTATACAGAACACCAAATAGATTGGACTAGAAGATAAGCTCACTTTGCTCTATAATAATTAGAACACTAAACATATAAAACAAAGAAAGAACAATAAATGCTTCAATGAAAAAAGGCCAAGTAACATATACAGTTAGACATATTCAAATTGCTCAAACTTCTCAATGGAGACACTAAAAGCCAGAAAAGTCTAGGCACTTGCACTGCAGACTCTAAGATACCATACATGCCCAGATCACTATACCCAGCAAAACTTTCAGTCACCGTAGATGGAGAAAACAAGATATTCCATGATGAAGTCAAATTTAAATATCTATTCACAAGTCCAGCACAACAGATAGTGCTAAAATGAAAACTCCAACCCTGAGAGGCAAAGTACATCCATGAAAACACAGGAAATACATAATATCACAGTAGCAAACCCAAAAACTGGTAGTAAACACACACACACACACCACCACCACCACCACCATCATCACTTCCAGCACCCAATTAAAAAAGAATTGTAAATGACCTCTCAGTATGAACGGATTCAATTCCTCAATAAAAAGACACAAGCTAACAGAATGGATAGGAAAACAGGATCCAACATTCCAAAGCTTGTGTCCGGAGTTAAACAGAAAGTTCTCAATACAAGAATCTCAAAAGGGTGAGAAACATTTAAAAGTAATATTCAATATCCTTATCCATTAGGGAAATGGAAATTTTCCTGAGCAGAACACCAATGCCTTATGCACTAAGGTCAAACATAGACAAATAAGACCTCATAAAATTACAAAGCTTCTGTAAGGCAAAGGACATTGTCAATAGGATAAAATGGGACCCAACAGATTAAGAAAAGATCTTTACCAATCCTACATTCGATACAGGGATAATATCCAATATATACAAAGAACACAAGAAGTTAGACTACAGACAACCAAATATCCCTATTTAAAAATGAGGTACAGAGCTAAACAGAAAATTCTCAACTGAGGAAACTCGATGGCTGAGAAGCACCTAAAGAAATATTCAACATCCTTAGTCATCAGGGAAATGTAAATCAAAACTACCCTGAGATTCCACCTCACACCCCTCAGAATTCCTAAGATCAAAAACTCAGATGACAGCAGATACTGGACAGGATGCGGAGAAAAAGGAGCACTTCTCCATTGTTGATGGGATTGCAAGCAGGAACAAATACTCTGGAAATCAGTTTGATGGTGCCTCAGAAATTTGGACATAGTACTACCTGATGATTCAGCTATACCACTCCTGGGCATATACCCAGAAGATGCTCCAACATGTAACAAGGACACATGCTCCACTATGCTCATAGCAGCCTTATTTATAATTGCCAGAAGCTAGAAACAACACAGATGTCTCTAAACAGATAAATGGATACAGAAAATGTGGTACATTTATGCAATGAAGTACTGCTCAGCTATTAAAAACAATGACTTAATGAAATTCACAGGCAAATGGATGAAACTCGAAAATATCATCCTGAGTGAGTTAACCCAGTCACTAAAAGAACAAACATGGTATGCACTCACTGATATGGTATATTAGCCCAAAAGTTTGAAATATCAAGATAAAATTCACAGACCATATGAAGTTCAAGAAGAGGGGAAACCACACTGAGGATGCTTTATTGTTTCTTAGAAGGGCAACCAAATACTCACAGGAGAAATTACAGAGATAAGGTGTGGAGCAGGGACAGAAGGAAAGGCCATCCAAAGACTGCCCCACCTGGGGATCCATCACATATACAGTCCCCACACCTGGATGCTAGTGTGGATGCCAGGAAGCGCTTGCTGACAGGAGCCTGATATGGCTGTCTCCTGAGAGGCTATGTCAGAGCCTAACAGATACAGAGGCAGATGCTCACAACCAACATTTGGACTGAGTGTGGGGTCCCCAGTGGAGGAGTTGAAGAAGGGACTGAAGCAGGTGCGGTGGCTTGCAGCCTCATGGGCAGAGCACCAGTGTAAACATGCCAGGCCCCCAGAGCTCCTAGGGACTGGACCACCAACCAAAGAGTACATACAGAGGCAACCATGACTCTGGTCACATATGGGGCAGACAATGGCCTTATTGGACATCAGTAGGAGGAGTGGCCTTTGGGGCTGAGGGGGCTTGATGCGCCAGTGGAGGGGAATTCCAGGGCAGGAAGTCTGGAGTGAGCAGGTTGGTGGTAGAAGGCAGGGGGATGGGGGATGGGATAGGGAGTTCTGAATGGGAGACCTGGAAAAAGGATAACATTTGAAATGTAAATAAAGAAATTATCCAGTAAAAGGAAAAAAATTTAGCTCAACTTTAAACACTACAGTGTTTTATTTTTCTAACTCAATATCTTTATGCCACTTTATGCTACTGAAATAAACATGAATTCCTTGAGGAAAGAGAAAGTAACATAAGGAAACATGCTAGCATAAGAAATATTTTTCTAACACTAAGTATGATAGATCATGAATCAAAATGCAGAAATTACAAGCCAGGGCCCAATACTCTAGGAAAATATAAGACCAGTTACTGCTACCTTCCATGGGAGAGGAGCCTTGAGGACACTTTTATCATGTGAGTCTCCTTCCACTCTGAGTGACAGCTCCTCATGGAGTGCCTGAGCAATGGCGTGTACAGCAGCATGGACTTTGAAGCTCAAGGGTGAGGTATTCATATCCCAAAGATGAAAAGGACGTGTGCTCAGGCTGCCATTTTGCCCACATCGACTTAGTTCCCTGATGTTGTCCTGATAGAAATGTGGACATTCAAATATGATAGACCACTCATCCTGGACAAAGATATCATGAGGGCACTTTCTAGGTTGAACACTTCTGAGAAAATCCTTGAATCCCAGAATTTCATCCACATGAACTGAAAATGATAATACTGTACCAAAAAATGTATGAACTAGATTTTGTTCAAAAGGATATGCGGTGACATACCAATCAAAAGTTGTGATCCAGACAGTACCAAAAGGAGTATACAAATTGATCGTACGGATAATGAAAAAAGCATATGTGACATCAAATGCAACGATCACACATGGCAAAGGTGCTCTTTCCATAAAAGTTTCCCAGTATGCTAGGTCCTCAGGATCTCTACCCTTTTCTGCAAATGCAACACAAAGTCCATGGTTGGTCATCTCCTCTGTGATGTCCTTAATGAAGACTTCTCCACTCAAATCATCTGAAACCAACAGACCAACCCAGACCCAAGAGAAGTATAGCAGCAGTTGAATAATTCCCTGATACACAGCTGTGTTGTTCGTAGGAAACTGGTAAGGAGACTGGAGCTGGACTCGGGTCCCAAGACTCTGGTCAAAAGGAGCATAGCTGACCTAAACAGAAAGAAAGTTACAACTCAAGTCAAGACAATTAGGTTTATTGTCATGTGATTTGGTTTACCTTGTCTGGTTATTCACTCTAGGAGAAAATAAACAGTTAAATAACTTTATTAAGAAATACCAATTTGTTACCTATGTCACTTACTACTTACATGAAATGTATCTTAATCATTGTACTTTTACAGAATATATCAAAAAGACCATGAAGTGTCTATCTCCTGATCTCAGTTAAGGCAATACCTGTCAAACAGGAGCATTTGCAAATCTGTCACTTCCCATACCAAAACATTCACCTTCCTGATAATGAAAGTGGAGAAACATTAACACAAAGGCCCTTTTACTTGAACTGAAAAATCTGTCACTAACTAACCAATAAACAGGAATCTAAAAAGCATTGTAAAATCCGCTAGTGAAGTCTATATTTCACTAGAAGTTCCTATGTATTTGTCTTTCTGCAAAACTTACTCCTTAGTCAACTAAGCAAAAATAAGCTTGCTTAGGTTAGATTGCTGACTATCTACCACAATGCTTGTTGTAAGTCTCTCTTTTAACAGGACCCTCTGGTCACTCTCATCACATTCCTATCCTTTTCAACAGAAGACTTGAGTTGAGTTGTCTACATTATCATTCCTATACACTTTAGGGCATCTCCTCTGGGATGGGGTCGGGAGGAATAGACTACATTATTAATTGTCTAATCTGTGATATCCAATGAGAAATTACCAAATTCACTTCACTTAATCTAATATTGGCATGAAACAATGCTTTTCCTTAAAATATGCTTTTTAATGAGTTCCTGGATTCTTTCTTTAGTCAAGGAACGTATTTCTAAGGTTTGGCCAACACTATCAGTCTGCCTTACAGAACCTTCTATCTCTCTCTACACTGGTGGTATCAGAATATCCTCCTGTCCCATGGCTCAGACTGGAACTTGATCCCATCTCCACACATATTCCCTAAATATTAATCTCCTCAAATCAGAAGCCCACTCAGTCATGCCCTAATGTATGGTTCATAACCTGGGTTTATGCACTGTTTTCCCCAGGCATCTGAGTTTAGATCCTTAGTGAACATTTCACATATTGGATCATAAAAATTGAATACAGACACTCATTAGATGTTAATTGATTGGGGGAGAGGGGTGGACGGGTAGAAGAAAAGGGATAAGAAGCAAGGAATCATGAAATGAAGCAAACATGAATACTTTGAGGAAGGAAACAGTAGCATAAAGAAATATTTATGAAGAGTTCTGACGCAAGCAAGATAACTGGAAATACAAACTCCAGTCAGACACAGTGAGGGCAGGTAACACTAGAGATAACCAGATTGCAAAAGGCAAGCACAAGAATATAAGCAAAAGAAACAAGAGTTACTTGGCATCATCAGTACCCAGTTCTCCCACCATACCAAGCCCTGAATACCCCATCACACCGGAAAAGCAAGATTCAGAATTAAAATCACGTCTCATGATGGTGATAGAGGATTTTAAGAAGGACATAAGTAACTCCCATAAAGAAGTACAGGAGAGCACAAGTAAACAGGTAGAAGCTCTTAAAAAGGAAACACAGAAATCTCTTAAAGAACTGTAAGAAAACACAAAGAAGGAATTAAACAAAACCATTCAGGATCTGAAAATGGAAATAGAAACAATAAAGAAATCTCAAAGGGAGACAACCATAGAGATAGAAAACCTAAAAAAGAGATAAGGAGTCATAGACATAAGCATCACCAACCGAATACAAGAGATAGAAGGGAGAATCTCATGTGTAGAAGGTACCACGGAAAACATTGACACAACAGTCAAAGAAAATGCAAAATGCAAAAAGCTCCTAACCCAAAACATCCAGGAAATTCAGGACGCAATGAGAAGATCAAACCTAAGGATAATAGGTATAGATGAGAATGAAGATTCCCAAATTAAAGGGCCAGTAAATATCTTCAACAAAATTATTGAGGAAAACTTCCCTAACCTAAAGAACAAGATGCCCATAAACATACAAGAAGCCTACAGAACACCAAATAGACTAGACCAGAAAAGAAATACCTCCCATCATATAATAATCAAAACATCAAACGCACAAAACAAAGAAAAAATACTAAAAGCAATAAGGGAAAAAGGTCAAGTAACATATAAAGGCAGACCTATAAGAATTACACCAGAATTCTCACCAGAGGCTATAAAAGCCAGAAGAGTCCAGACTGACATCATACAGACCCTAAGAGAACACAAATGCCAGTCCAGACTACTATATCCAGCACAACTCTCAATCACTATAGTTGGTGAAACCAAGATATTTCATGACAAAAGCAAATTTGCACAATATCTTCACACAAACCCAGCAATTCAAAGGATAATTCATGGAAAACACCAACACAAGGAGGGAAACTACAACCTAGAAAAAGCAAGGAAGTAAACTTCCAACCACCCCAAAATAAGATAGCTATACAAACATAATTCTACCTCTAATAACAAAAATAACAGGAAGCCACAATCATTTTTCCTTAATATCTCTTAACATCAATGGACTCAATTCCCCAATAAAAAGACGCAGACTATCAGACTGGATACACAAACAGGACCCAGAATTTTGCTGCATACAGGAAATGCACCTCAGTGACAAAGACAGACACTAACTCAGAATAAAAGGATGGAAAACAATTTTCCAAGCAAATGGTCCCAAGAAACAAGATGGAGTAGCCATTCTAATATCAAAATAAATCGACTTTCAACCAAAAGTAATAAAAAAAGATAAGGAAGGACACTTCATACTCATCAAAGGAAAAATCTACAAAGGTGAACTCTCAATTCTGAACATCTATGCTCCAAATGCAAGGGCACCTACATACATAAAAGAAACTTTACTAAAGATCAAAACACACATTACACCTCACACAATAATAGTGGGGCATTTCAACACCCCACTCTCAGCAATGGAAAGATCACGGAAACAGAAACTAAACCGAGACACTTTGAAATTAACAGAAGTTATGA